CCTGCGGGAACAAACGCGGGGAGAGCTCTTGGTGTGTGTCTGGTGTGCTGGGCAGGCTTATAACCGCTCCACTCGTTTATTCGGTGCCTGTAAATCCAGAAGAAAAGATCAGCTGTCTGCAGTGGGCACGCTGCCGGCAGGAGTGTTGGGCTTTGCACCCAGAGTCTTCGTTAACTGTTGGGATTTCGGGCAAGTAGCCAGCCCTGGTGTCCTTTGGCTTACCGACCTGGTTAATAGAATACAGCTTGTTTGCAGGAGGCTTTGTACAGTGAATATTGAATTGTAAAGTTCCACAAGATATTAGATGAAAAACTGTGTCAAGTAAAATACGTGTAGTAGGTATGCTGAACATTGAAATACATGCAAATTTAAAATAAACATAAGATCCAGGCTATAGTTGCTCAGGATGAATGTTTTCCAGCTGATGTTTTGCGGCTTTAAGGGAGGAACCTGCTGAAAAGGGGACCTGTGCCCAGAACTGCTCTCTGCTCCGCTCAGGTGACAGTCGGCGATGCAGAAAAGTCCGGAGTAAATGAGAATGGCAGGATGGAGCCATCGGGATAGTTGTACCCTGTATTCAGTGGCTCTTTTTCTAGCACACAGCTGAGAGAAACACCTCTTCCATTTTGAGCAGTAGCTACTTGCTCTGACTGAATTTTGCAGGGAGGCTTAGTTCAGCCCTCTTTTTAAGAAGGACAGCTTTCATCAGGGGAAATGCAGTCACAGTCTTTCTAGGCTAGGAACATAGAAGCAAATGTAAAACATGAAGGAATCTTTCAGGTCACCAAAACCAATCCCTGCAATTGTGGCCAGTCTTATCCTGTGTAATTGCTTTCAAAATATCTCCAAGCTCCATTGTAAAATAAGGCTGAGTCAAATTCCTACCTTCTGTAACTGAAATTCTATATCTGATAATAGAAGAAAAATTCTACCATTTTCTACATAGCATAAATTTATCTCTTTTTTTTTACATAGCAATTAGAATATTCTCTTAAATGACTGTGTGGGAACACAGGTGCAGGTCATAACACAAAGCATTTTCTTCCTGATGTGCGTGTTTTAAAACATAGATGATAATAACAGAAGTTTGTTTAAATACAGTCACAAGTGAAGTTCATACAGGAACCCCTGTATGTCCAGAATTCTCAGGGTGTTACTGTGTGTCTTAGTTTTCATATTCCTTTTTTTTGTTGTTGTTGTTTTAATTATTGTTATTTGAAGGGGAGGGGTGAATATCAGCATATACAGAGCATGAGAGCTCAAACTTATTTCTAATATGCCACAGGAAAAAATAATTGTCACTGGTAGAGCTGTTGGAGCCTGAATTATGATTCAGCCTGAATGAGTACAGAGGTATTTCTCTCTCCCTTGTCCAAAGTCCCTTGTGAGTGAAAGAACCTTGGCAGGTGAAGGAAACAGATCATGATTCACAGAGGAGTGGAGAAACAGTGATTCCCCCTGTGACAGCGACACAGCAGTACCTCTTTTTTATATTTGCCGTCACTTGTCATGTTTCATCTCTGTTTTTCTGGACTTTTTTTTTTTAATTGGGCATTTTGTCTTGATCATATCAGGTAACTAAAAGCCTATATTGATCATAATCACAGACAAACTCTTTTTTTTTAGCTGTTTGAGTAATTAAAAGTGCTGTTTAGACTATTATTTTTGAGTATGATAGTGACAAAAGGCAGAGTAAAAAACCACTGTATCTGGAAATGTTATTATATCCTTTTAAAACAATAAATTAATTATCCTTACCACAGTGGGAATGAATCATCTTGATCGAGCGTTCTTTTCTAACATCAGAATATGATGACATACAAAATACAAGAACAATTTTCAAAATTATATTTTTATTTTCACCATGGAAAATTACTTCTGTGTTCGTTTTTTCCCATTGATAAACCAGATTAATGACTTTCAGCCCTGATCATTACTATCATTGGTTCTTCATAAACAACAATGTGTGCATATGTATAAACAAATTAATTTTAGTTCTTGTCATGTGAACATTAAAATCTGGGTATCCAGTTCTGAAAACTCTAACACATACCGGTAAGACATCATTTGAGATAGATGTAATCCAGTCATTTCACAAAGCATCAAGCAAAAAAAGTACCCAACTGCTCTGCCTTGAAAAACCTTGACGGTGGCCTAGACTACTGATGTGTTGTGATCACCAGCCAGCTTGCTGACTGACACGGTTTCATTGCTTCTTTATAATTCCTCTCTGTTCCTATTTTTTTGTTGTTTTGGAAACATAGGCTGTTAATAGCAACATGTGATAAGATTTAAGACTAAAATTTTGCTTCTCATTGGGAAGAGCACACATGCAAAAATTCATGCTTTTCTCTAGTATAATCTTTAATTATATTTCATCAAATAACCTGGTACAGAAACTATTTCAGGTATCATCCTAAGGATCTTTTGAGACATTTGCAGAATAAGAAATATGTAATTAAGTCTTCCATTTTATTGATGTTTGTACTGTATTCTCATTTCTCTGTTATCTGTTCAGAGTAACTGAGATTTTGAAAGCTTGACCTGAATGTTCTCTTATACATTACTGCCATATATTTCCTTTATGAGCCTATCAACATACATTATGCTACAACTGAAGGAGGCATGAAAAATTAATGATTTACTATATTTATAGGATTCTCCATGGTGAAGATGGTCAGCCATGGAAAGCATATTGCAATAATAGTCCAACAGCTTAACAAATTTAACCCTGAAAATCAGAGCGTGGAGGATTTCTTGAATGAATCAGCTAAGATGTTGCAGGTATATTAAGTTTCAGTTCATCTTACATAGCTACTGTGTTTTAATTGCTGATTTTAAACATAAAGATATCTGCTTTATAATGTGTTGTAACTTTCATAGATTTTTCTTACAGTGACGCTTTTTATGTATGACTAAAGTCCAAATTTCGTACAGTTATCACCAGAAAACAAGGAAGTAAAGATCAGAAGCATTGAATAACTGCTTGGGGAGCAACAAAAGACGGGGAAAGCAACAACTTCCTAAAATGGATCTGACAAGGATAGGAAAAGCTTCTCTTGCACTCCTGACTAAGCTTTTTTGTAGTTTCCTATCTCATTTCCTCCTTCCAAATGGAAGTTTCTGTCAGCAGCACCCGTTTTGTATATACCAATGCAGTTCAGAAGCTGACTCACAGGATCAGGAATTCTTGCTTTGAGGACATAAGTGGCCATCAGAATAGTGGGATAAAAGGCAAGTGACATTAAATCAGCTACCTGATTTTAATCTAATACTGCAAGTAACCAGACCAAGATTTGCCAATAAGTAGCTATACTGCCTGAAGCAGTCACCATCTCTTTGGCCTCAATGCCACCCTGACTTGTGCTGATGCAACTACTGGATTGAATCAGCTTTAGAAAATCAGTAAGGGAAGACGGTAACATTGTTTAGACTGCTATTACCTGTGCATGCCATATGTTATCAAATTACATCACCAGAGCCCTGATTCCACACTGCCATGGAGCTCAAGTGCTCTTTTCCACTTCTGACAATGTCTAAAACACTGCTGTTCCAGTTAGATAGTCTTTCACGTTGATTTTGCATAAACACAAATGACCACAAGAATATAAAACTATGGGGTGTGATACAAAAATCGGAGGCTGAGGCAGTGGATCCATGCACATTTCTTGGGTGCTTGCTTTCTTAAACAGTTTCCACTGAGGCCCCTCCTTTCTGCCACTGCCCTCTTGCCTTGTAGTACTGGCATAACTCTGTGCATTCATATGCTGAATTACATCAGGGAACTGATCCAGTTTCAAAATAATAATTTTTCACTAAGCAGAGAGCAGGTAAATTCATCTGCCACTGCTGCCAAAATATTTGTGAAAATTAATATTTAAATCATTGTTCTTCAGCTCAGGAAAGGTGATGCAGAGACAAAAGAAGCTGTAACTCCATTAGAGAAACATGAAACTTAAGTTTCATAACAAACCCTTTAAAAAGGAGAAGAACAGGGAGGACAGCTTATGCCAAAAATGAGGCAGAAATCTTTCTCTGGGATAGTTCCAGCTCACTTACCACATAATATTTTTGCTGTGAATTTATCCAAGAAAGTAAAAATTATGATCCATCTTTAAATAAAATTCAGCTTTGTTTCAGTACCAAATGGGTGATTATAATTCATCATGGAAAATTCACGTCACTTTTCTATTTCATAATAAGCGTATGATCCTAGAAATGTTGTAGCATTTTTGTACACATGATTTCCAGGCTTAGCCGGTTACCAATTAGCCAATATTAACTGACCCATGCAGAAATTTCCTCGAGTTTGTATCCTGATTAACGCAATCACTTTAAATCACAGACTAGATTCAACCCTGTATGTCTCATGCTGGCAGCATGACAAATAGCAAACTTAGTGTTGTGTACTGATGACCAGACAAAAATCAGGAGGGTCAGGTTCCAAGAGCACAAATCTAAATAATTGCAAGACACAGCTCTCATTTATTTATTTACTTAGGTATGCAGTGTATCAGACTTGACTTGTGCACAGGTTACTATCTTCTAGTCTATTACACTTTTCTAATTGGTTAGTTAGTTTTCCATTCCCTAAAAGTACAATCAGATTCTAGTGATTATCAACACTGTGTGTTTCATTCATATTATATACCTTTATTGTATTTGGATGTTTTATAGTCTTTGTGTCCTTTTCTGATGATACCTGAGATGTCTTGTTTAGTTCTTTGATAACCTGTTGATGACCTACATAAAATATGCTTGTTAGGCTATTGTCCTGCTGTTTGTGATTGTTCCTGATGAAATCAACAATTTTGGGCTAGGATATGTCTCTCAAAATAAAAAGACAGCATGCACAGGTCATTTTAGAATATATTGAAGGGAGTTCAGCACCCTAGTAGTGTCTCTGCCAGGCTGCGAGAGCCACTACGGATGCCAGTATTGCCAAGTGCCAGATCCTGGAGATAAGTACCTCCGGCAGCCACACATTCTCACCTGAACTGCAAGGACCAGATAGCAAAGGACATTTTGCAGAGCAAAAATCTCAGTCAGAATGAAGTAAGTTTCGAAGAACAATATGTTTGTAGGAGCTGATCGAAAGTAAATAAAATGACTTGTTTGTAATCTAATAAATGAAACAAAGTGATGGACATCCTTGGCTGATCAGAAATGGGGGATGACATCAGTAAATAAGAGATAACAGGTAGAATGGAACATAGTTGTGAAGCATCTTGATAGCAAAGACAGGCAGCTTTCATTTTACGTGCTGCAATCAACTGTGAGATGCTAGGTGGAGTAAGGGGGTCAAAACAGTGGACTAGCAGAACGGTCTAATGATAGCATTCCAAATAGTTGATTTGCTAGGGAAATATTGGATTACTTAAACATAGGATAGAGATATTTATTACAATAAAATAGAACATTTTGAGACACTACCTTAGATTTTTAGCTATGAAGTGATAGGTAAATACTACTTGAAACCTACTGTTCAAAAAGAGTGAAGAAGATGTGCACGTAGACTGGTTATGATATCCTGGAGAACAGTTTACGTGAAAAATTACCTCCTAAGTTATGGGCTTGCTTGACAGGCATGATGGCAATAGTACCAATAACTGAGAAAAGAAGTAGCAAGAGAGTACTGAAGTTTTGTTTTAGCATAGTTGAAATTAAGCTGACAACAACAACAAGGAAATGTCACAGAGAGAGGCCAGCACTTTAGATTGTAGTTTAGGGTTCTTATTTGTATACATGATAAATGTGAATATGTTATGAAAGGAAGTCGGATTTAGTCCTAAGGGTGTGAGTCTGGAAGGCACAATCTGTCTTGATCAAAGTATCCCTGTCAACCATCTACCAGGGGCATAAGACCATTCTTGCGGGAATTCTTGCAAATTAAAGCAGTAAAAATGTCTGGCAAAGGCACAGGAAAAGAAGTGAAAGTGGACAAGCAAATCTATGTTAAAAGGAAGGAATTTACAATATGAATATATATAAAAAGAAAGAGGCATAAAATCCAAAAGGTCAAAGCCATAGGGTGAAAATATACTAGCCACTGTGAATAACTTGCTCTGCAAATGATAGCAAAAAGTAATGGTAGATTTTGATATTAGATATTTTGCTAAGTATAGAATTGGTCTTTGTTGAATATTCTTCTCAAAATCCAACACACCATTTCTTTTGGTTTCACTGTGCTGCTGCAAAGGTGACGCAGTCAAGAGGTTTGTGCAATAACTCTTCAGCAAGACTTTATCCTTAATCTCTAGATGCTCTTATTTTGCTTACATGAAAGGTTAGATAAATAATTAAAACAAATCCCAAAATACATGATTGTATGAAATAATAATACTATATTTTGCTCTTTCATAAAGACTGTGTAGAGATTTTTACGTTTTGGCAGTTCACAATGGTTGGGAAATAGCTGTTACTGTAGAGGTTTGGAATACTCTGCTAGTCAAATGCATTGGAAGAGAAAGATAAACTGTGTTGTTTTCTAAGCTCTATCATCTTTCTATCCCAGTCCTTTCTCTTACTGACCCTCAAACTTACTTGCTCAGGTCTCTTCATTTAACCTGTCCCAGTTCCGTTTCAAGTTGTTGATTCCAGTGCTATTGTTACTGTCCAGCAAGTCCAGCTCACCTCTTTGATTTTGTTCTGCTCACCTCAAAGTTCTTGCACGTTCAGTTCCAGTCCCTACTGTACCTAAATCAAATCATAAATCTCTGTCTCTCTTCAAACTGAAGCCCACAAGAGGCAGATGTCACAGAGAAGACAAGTGAGATGGACTCTGTTCTATCAGTTTGAGGTCCCAGAGTGACCCAGTGTGGTTTATCGCAGTCTCATCCTGTATCATAGCAAAAGCTCTGCTTGCCCTGGGCTGGACTGGTAAGGGCACATGGAATCTTCAGAGAAGGTTACTGCTACAGTATAAATTCACACAAAACACATGCAAATGAATATTTTTCACTTGGCAAAATGTACATGGATTTTCTATAAGAAAACCAAAAGGCCAAATCTGTAAGGCATTGCTTGACGCCTGTGTGCTATTTTGAAAATACATCCCTACCTGTTTCCTTGTATTTGATTTGCAAATACTTACTACTTCCAAACAGCTAGTTAAAAAACTGAAAATTTACCAACTTTCTATCAAATATTCATTCCTTGTATCAGACCATGTGAGCTACTTTCATTTTGTTCCTCTTGAATAACATAGGATGGTATCCATTAACTTCAACAGCAACAGAAGCAACCTCTTGATTGTTATTATTTTTATTTCTTAATGCATCTTTATAATTTTGTTTTAAGTATCAGTGTTCCCATCTGAACATATTCTCTAATTGTAAGAAATCTTGTTTCAAGCTTCGAGATAGAAATCTGTTTGGAAAACATTTGGGTGTACAGTCTGCTTCCAAGAGTATTCCAGAGAGACTGACTGCCCGAAGTCAGAAGCATTACTCCATACAGATAGTGGTGAAAATTAGATAAGTAGCTGGCCATCTTTATTTATAGAGAAGTGATGGCATTGGATACTGCTGTCAAGAGTTATGTTTTTCTAGCTATATGTGGGATTTAGCTTTACACTGTCCATTTACAGTAACAACAGCCACACATCTAATCCTGGTGTACTGCTTTGAAAAAGCACCCCTCTATAATTGAGGTAGGTCAAGTAGATAACACATCCAATAAACGTTGGGATATCACTTTCTTTTTCACAGATAGAGAATGAGACAATTAGTACTAAAGGAATAGGACGTGAATTTTAAACAGTAGATGCAAACCATTACTTTGGC